TTGTTGAATATGTGATTTAATTTCTTGTGTATCTGTAATGATATCATCTGCTGTTTTGATATTGTCAAATCTAACAAAATCTTTGTGTTGGTTTAATATGCTGTTAATCATAGATTTGGGATTAGATAGAAGTTTGTTGTATCTTTTAAAAATATTGTCATTGATTTGTTGTCGAATTTCTTTAATATTTTCAATATTTTGAGCATGATATAGTGCTTTCTATTCGTCATTACAGGTATTGAGCCATTCTGCTAAAAGAGTATGTTCATTAAATAAACATGGAATATTTAGTTGATAGGTGCTATTAATCTGGTTAATAGTAGAATTGTGCTAAGTAGGTATGGGTAGTTCATTCTTAAGTGATACTTTGACTTGTCGGATAATATTATTGAGCTTTTTAAGATTTTGGTGTAATAGTGATGCTTTGGGTAAGTAAATATGTTAAAAGTTTCATACTTTAAATTTTTTGTTAAGAATATGTTGGAGTGCAGACCCAGTCAGAATCTGGGTCTTAGATGGTGTTACCCCCTCCCTGTCAGACTATTACCGCCCTAAGGGTACCTGCCTAAGTGCATCCAGTAATACACCATGAACCATTCATCCGGACCCTTCCATCAATTCCACTACACAGACGACAGGATGTTTTAGTTGTTGGCACAGATGATGATTCTTAACGTAGCTACCACCCTACCAGGGACTATCTTACAAGCATTCTCTATGCATCACAATTCCTATGGTTAACATTAGCCCAATTCCAGGGATCGAGTAGATTAGATCGGATGGTAAGCATGATTCCGGGAGTTTCACTCAGACCATCTTCACCACGGGTTTTGCCCTATTACCTTCACCAAGGAACCAAACCAACCTGTGGGGTGTACTGTGGGTTGGCAAAGCCACAGCCACTCTCCCACAGCCTTCAAAAAATTCCGCTCAAGTATTAGCTTGAAAAGATTTACTGCAGGTTTTCTACAATGTCACGGATATATTGTAGTTATCCTGACTGCCCTTACATAGACTGTCTTTTAAAGAGTGTTTCCACTCCCGACCACTTACAGTCGTTACACTACCCGAAAATGTCTGCAACATACAGAAAAGCAGTGACACTTCACCTTGTTTGCTAAACTATACAAACGGCATATCGTTTCCGGTAAGCTCGGGATTGGTTTAAGGGGTCTTCCCACCAGCCTTCCCCGAATTTGGAGGTCTCGCTCGCATAGGCGTCGTACACACAAATCCTATGGTTAGCCATAGTTAGCTTCAGACGACCTACACTCACTGCTGCCAGCTAAACTGACATTCTGAACGCATTTCGGCATATCCGTATACACGCTAACAAGGTAACTTGACCCACCAAGTTACTACCAAATAACCCTCGAAGCATTAGCTCATTTAAGTCTACATATGGGGGGTATACAACTGCGAATCATCGAACAATCGGCTTATACCAAGTATTATCTTGTCAATCACCGACCTGATTCTCCCCACCATCCACTGTCCGAAGAGGTGGACCCCTAGTAGGCATACATAGTCACCACACTTAAACGACTAATACCCAAGAACCGCTTTACCCGGAATAGAGCTTCATTCCAGTTTCCGAATTATTTGATAATACCGTGCATGCCTAGTGGCTACTTTCGTGCTGCCACATTCTACAGGGTCGCGACTCCCCAACCATTTTTCCAAAAAGCCTATCAAATTATTGCACAGTGAGAGCTGCATGGACCGCCAAATAGCATGAATATTGTCGAGCCGTGGATTTTTGGTGCAAAATCCCGGGAGGACCCCTGCTCAAGACAATATTCATTCTAAAAGACTCCACCGCTCTTTGCGACTTACCTTTGATCGTCTAGATTGGCTACTTCACTCCAATAAAATGTTAAAATCAGAGAGAAGAATGCAATTTTACATCAATAGGTCACATTACTCCTACCAACGGGAATTTTCCTTTCGGTGAACATTTACCATCAGTTCAGTGTGTCGATTCGGTCGATCCAAGGCATTGCTGTCTTTCCAGCTTGCTCCGTATTGCCAGATCTTCACTGTTTTATATATTTATGGATAGAACACTTATGTGTAACAGTCGGGATCACCCTCGTTCCAACCCACGAGTTTTGTATTCGAAGACTCGTTCTACTCCGCCGCCAGACATTTCTAATCAGCTATAGGAATCTATAACTTCCATCTCGAACTCGAATACCGATTGCCATTTGCCCGTTGGTTAGATTCATGAACCTTGCGGTCCACACCTATTGACCAACAATTTAAGGTGCGTGCACCAGGACAGTGATGACTACATCAACCGTAATCGATAGATCCATTATATATTCCACCAATTTCGAAACACCTATGATCGGTACTAATTGATTTTATTCTAAAACAATTAGTAAACAAAAACATGCTCCTTGAATTTTATGGCTTTCCACCAAAGGCATCTTGCCGCCTGAGCCATTTTCATGACCTTGAACTTTTTAGCATCGTCTTTCCGATATTAAAAGTCCATAAAATTGCGTCACATTTGTTCTGCTTTGTTTACTTACGGACGGGATACTCTCGTAGCAGTTGAGTTTTGTCTCATCATCCCCACCTGATAGTTTTGCTCTCGATGACTATTAACACCGCTAGAAGGTGCAGCGGACTTCATAAACTACTGCTTCCCTTTTCTTCATAGTTGTGATTTGAAAACGAAGAACGTCCAAACCTGCAGAGCTATGATTTCAGCCTAGTACCAATTGATTTTTCGTAAAACAATTGGTAAACAAAAACTCCATAAAGTAAAGACCAACCTTGTTACTTCCAGAGCTCAGAATCATCCCTAAGTAACGCTCCCAAACTAGATCAACGTCACCTCTTTGACATTTGCCCGTGAGTTGTGTTCCACATTGACTCACAATTTAAGGTCTTTTCTTTTACCTACAAATTAGCAAAAGTTGTTTTCGTATTCTCCCACGTCCATTACATAGAGTAATCACATCCGGAATAGCGTACCATTATTTCAGGCGCGTGTTGTTTCCGACCCACTGAAGGACTTGATGCACGATATACTCTTTTCCACCCTTTTTGAAAGACTTATCATGGGTTTGCACGGCTCATGCCTAACGGCAAGTCAGAATGTTAAGAGTTACCATAACAAGCAAGGAACTACTTTAAGGCTGTTATTACGCACTCAAGTTTTAAACAAGCTCAAACCGGAAACAGGGAAAAACCGATTGGAGGTAAAAAGAAATCAAAACTCATCAAAGCCAACACGAGACGAATAACCGACGTCGAGTCCTGCCTCGAAAAGTTTTAATAACTTTTTCGATCAGAATTATATACTTTTGATACTATTCAAATTATCTTAATGAAATGAATTGAATAGTATCAAAATTATATGATTCTAATTAATAGTTAGCAAAATAATTAATGTTTTGTGTATATTATTTTTTGTCAGTTAGAAATATTAGATATTGTATCACTTGAAATATTTATGACTTAAATACTGAAATAATTATATAACTATTATGATTGTTAGATACTGCATAACTCAAGATAGTTATGTAATTTAAATATTTAAGTGATTACAACTATTTAAACTATTAAATACTACATAACTCAGGGTAGTTATATAATTTAAGTGATTACAACTATTCAACTCATTAGATGTTATATTACTTGGACAATTATGTAATTTAAGTATATAATTACAACTGTTAAAACCATTAATTGCATTTAGGGTAGTTATATGATTTAAATATATAATCACAATTGTTAAAACTATTAATTGTATTTAGGGTAGTTATATTATTTAAATATATAATTACAACTATTAAAACTGTTAATTGCTATATCATTTAGGGCAGTTATATGATTTAAATATATAATCACAACTGTTAAAACTATTAATGGCTATACTATTTAGGGTAGTTACATGATTTAAATATATAATCACAACTGTTAAAACTGTTAATTGCTATATTATTTAGAGCAGCTATGTAAAATAATTAAAACTATTATTTTATATATTTGTACATGTTCATGCAAGAGGTGTATAAAATATGTAAGAAATATATAAAATTTATAAAATTTATATATTTATATTATTAATTATCTTAACTTTTGTAATTGTCAAATGATTGACTCTGGAATCTTTAGAAGTAGTTAATTGACAATCCTCAGGGGAGATATAATAAAGTCTTTTCTGTCAGTTTCCATATTGTTTATATAGAATTTTATATAGTTACTAATATATTTTTTAATAATATCTTAGCATCTATTAGACTAATTTAGATAATTTAACTACTATTAGATGTATTTTAATAACTCTATATCTTTCTTTTAATACAGAAGATTAACCAACTTAATAAAAAAAGTTTTTTTTGATGTATACTATATTTTTGCCTTATATAAAACATAAAAAATCTGTATCATGTTAGGTAGTATCATTTATTATCTGATTATTTTTTATTAAAGAGTTATTCTATTTCCTCTTTTAATATATAAAAAATCAAGATCTTATATATAATTTTAACTTTTTTTACCCTTTTTCATCCTAAAAAATTATTTGATTTTTGTTATATCCCTTATACTATATATTTTTTCAGATGATTTACAATCTACTAATTAATATAAATTTAGATTTTTTATTATTAGTATCTATTTTTTTGATATATTTGTTTTTAATTTTTTTTATTAGCAGTCTTGCTTTATTATTTTATTAGAAATACTAGAAAATTATTATTAACAGATACACAAAACTTTCAGAACTCAGAATAATCTATATAGAGATAAGAATATAATTTGCTTATTTTTAACTATTTTTTTGTAGATCTTTTCTATTTTAAGTAAGATATATATTTATTTTTAACCATTTTTGTATAGATCTTTTTATTTTTAATAATTTTTTAAAACTCTTACTTTTATATAGATTGCTCAGAGTCCTAAACTTTCTATACTATATTCTTATACTAATGAAGATTTATTTAACTTTATAGCCCAAGTATAATACTATCTAGCAACAATTTGCTTCATATTGAATTTTCAACTATTTGAAGATTTGAACCTTTCAATCATTAGTGGGAGTAATTATATCAGTTCATTAAAAAATCAAATCAAAGAAAATACTGATAAAAATAAAAAAAATATAGAGGTATAGAGATAATGATAAAATATACAAATAAAAAAAGAATAAGAATAAGAAAATATCAAGAACAAAAGAAAAAAAAATTTTTATATAAACTTGTCAACTCTCTTCAATGATCACTTGTATCAACTAGTTATCGAAAACAAATTAAAGATTCAAGACCAAAAGTTAACAAATAATTTGAAGTTTTCTTAATATAAACTGTTATTGATAAAGTTTTTAAACATAATATACCAAAGAGCAAATATTTTGAACAGTTTGCAAAAAGGTTAATCAAGCCTTGTTTTCTTTTCTTGTCAGGTAGACTTCTTTTTGTATTTAGTATCCAAACTAGAGGAGTTTTTGGGAATAGTAAGTAAAAAGAAGACTCAAGTTAGTTTAAAAATAAAAGGTTATAAAGAACTCTTGAAACAATATTCTTTAGTTAAAAATCTGCAAAACTACAATATTTTTTTGTTGCTTTCTTTTTATCAAATAAAGGATTTGGCTACTCTCTTTCAAAAAATTAGTATTATTTATCATTTCTATTTTTGAAAAATCTTGAGTTATAATATGATGAATAAAGAATACAACAATCATATATAAAAAAAATGTTCTGTTTAGATATATTGAATTACAAAATATAAGTTCTGTATTTAAATTAGATTTTGGCTATTAAGAATGAATGCTCTTCTGAATTGTACTATAGAAAGTAGCTTCTAATAATTAGGTGATCAGAAAAAAAGACTTTTGTTTAATCTTGTATAGTGTAGAAGCAAAGTCTGAAGTAAAGAACTATAAAAAGACTAGTTTGAAAAGATGTGTCTCAGAATTAATGATTATATATTAAGGTTTTAAAATTAGTGTTTTAGGATTCGAGATAGATTTAAAGAAGAGTTGTAAACTAAAGAGATATATTAGAGATATACAATATTTTGAAATTATATGTATATAATTTTAGTCCTAAGCACAGACTAAAGTATATATTAGTTTATAGTTTTTTTGTCAAATAGATCTATATATAGATTTCTACAACCATGTAGATAGTTTTTATCTAGTTAGCAGTTATTTTTTTTGGTATTAAAGTGACCTCTTAGCCGGTTCTCTTTATTCAATTATAGATTAACTTTACTATATGTTAAGCTTCCCTTAGATAGCCTGTATAGTATATATATTTTTGAAGAATACATACTAACCACATATACAACTTTTGATTGCCTATTTTAAGTAGTTCATTTATTACTAAGTTCTACATTAGATACCATACCTATAATCTGACTAGGAGGTTACCTATTTAAACCCTCTGCACTTTTATGTAGATTAATCCTTTTATAACTGAATCAGTATAATTCCTTTAAGATACCTAGTTTTGGACTTTAAAGCAGACTTAACCAGTAAGCCTTTTGTCCTCAAGGTAAATCTGCTAGAGCTTTCTGTACCCACAATCTGATTAGTCTAAGCTTTAGTAACTTACGCTAAGTTCGTAAACAAGTACTTGCAAGCTGAAGCTACTACTGTTACCTACTTTTGCTTTTGTAAAATTTATCCAACCCAGTACCCACTTTACAGACTATTAGAAGTACTTCCTGAATTTCAAATTACTAATCTAGATAGTCCGGAAGAGACTTTCACCTGTAAGTTACTAGTCCCCTGATAACCGCAAATTAAGCAGATCTTTTTTTTTTAATTCTGATAGCCTGGTTGATAAAAGTGCCTCCTTAAATACTTCGTCTATTCAGTTTTTTCAATTTGATTTGACTAGTCTAAACTATCGATCTTAATAGCCTGGTAGAGACTTTTACCCATAAATTACTAGTCTTTTGGTAACCGCAATTAAGCAGATCCTTTTCTTCTGACTCAGCGGCCTGGTTGGTGGGGTGCTTGCTATATACCTCGGTCCTGTTTAGTTTTTCAGTTTTTTTCTAATAATAATCTTTTATGTAGTATTGTCAAAGGTTTGTATTACCTTTCTACTCAGGTCTTGCCAAGCAAATATCTATCTCTCCGATTTCTTGGTTTTATACAAATAATAATTCTCTCAGATATCTGGTACAACCTTAGTTACAGATCTTAAATCCAACTGATCGATAAGAGACAGTAATTGTTTTACAACAGAATATTCGAATTTTGTTGATAGTAGGATTTGAACTCTGAATATGCTGCTTGGAGGTGCAACAACTTTACCACTTTACTAAGTCACCACACCTATTAGCAGATTTTTATATCTTAGACAAGTTCTTTTAGATTTTAGAATAATTTTTAAATTTTTTTTTTTTTTTATTTCAGCGATCCTACCTTTATTTTATTTATTAGAAGTAGAT